GCTCAGATCCAGGTGCACCAGGCGAGCCAGGCCACTCAGGCTGGCGGGCAGCGTGGTCAGGGAGCCCCGGACGCAGGAGCCTTGTGCGTCCCAGTGCTGCCCACCTGGGAAGGTGGGGGGCGATGTGGCCCTCAGCCCCAGTCCCAGCGTGGGGGACGCAGGGAAGGAGCCGCATGCAGGCAGGCCCAGAGCCCCAGGTCTGCCCGACCGGGGCCGGAAGACAGAGAGAGGCAGGGACCCAGACCGAAGGCTCATCTGGGCGGACGGCCAGCCCCCTGCCCCGCCCCGGGAAAGTCATGCACCCTGGAGCCCACCGAGAGACCCCGCCAGGCAGCTTCAGGGCCCAGGAACTCAGGCAGCGCCCCGCTGCGGGAAGAGGGCTGGGTCCGGCTGCACGGAGAAGAGTGATGGGGCCGGGGTCGGGGTTGGCCTTGGAGGACGAGCAGAGGCAGCAGCTGGAGGTGGGGGTGGGCCAGGGCTGGGGCCAGGTGGGGCTCACCTTTGATGACCAGGGACCGGAGGTGCGGCAGGCTCTCTGGCACCCTAGCCAGGGTGGCCTCCAGCAGCAGAGCGTCTTCGTGGCCACTCAGCTGCAGGAACTCCACCTCCTGCAGCTGAGGGGTCCGCTGGGCACACAGGTGCAGCAGCCGGCGGCAGCCCCGAGGGTGCAGGTCCAAGCTCAGCCGGTTCCCGGCGGGGAGAAGGGGCGCCCCAGGATCCGCATCCACAGTGTCTGCAGCATCTCCTGCGGCAGCATCTCCTGCGGCAGCCACCTGCGGCTCCAGCTCCTCCTCCACCGCAGCCATCGCCCACCGGCAGGCCTTGGGGGCCAGGCATGTCCCAGCCTGCCAGGCAGGCCTGCTCAGGCAGGACCCGGCGAGGCTGCACTGTTGGGGTGAGAAGAGGGCAAGGAGTGGGGCTGGACCCTCCTCCCTGTGGCCGGGACTGGGACTTGGCTAGGGGGCTCCCCTGGGCGGGGCCAGCTGGCCCCGGGATCCCAGCGCCTGGGCTGGGCAGATCACTGGTCACGTGGGGCTGCAGAATGGGGCCCCTAGGGATGGGAGGGCAGCTGGAGTGGGGGGGGGTGACCTGTTGGTGGAGGGAGGGAGGTGGGAGGTTTCGCGTCCTCGTTTTGGAAATTTGGGCAAGGGACTCCAGAGCTGGCAGGTGGTCCTGGCTGTCCCCACACCGCCGCGGGGTAGGAGTCTGGGTCCAGCCCCACCTGCCACCTTCACACTCAACAGCTCTGATAGGAGGCCCCTAAAGCACTCTCATCTCCCGCGTGGGGGCAGTGTCCCAGGCAACGGGTGACGGTGCCCAAGTATGTCAGAGAAGGGGACCTGAGAGAGGGGACCTGGGGCCTGAACCACTGCGCCCCACTTCCTGACACTCGGAAGAGGGCTCTTCCCGCCGCGGCCGCTTCACACCTCGGTCGGCGGCGGAGGGCAGTGCACAGCGCGTTCGGGGCTCGGGCGGCCTCAGGGCCGGTGCCGGCCCGGAGAGGCACGCCACACTCCCCCAACCCCGCCGGCCCCACTGAGAGTACCTAGGCTCCCTCCGGGCAGGTGCGGGACCCACAGCCGGCTCAGTGCGCTCGGCGCACCCGGCTTGCAGCCGGCGGTTTCCGGGCGGGCTGGGACTCCCGGCACCGCCCCCTCCGGCTCCGCCCCTGGGGTCCCGCGTCTTGGCCTCAGGATCCCGCCCCAACCCGCCTTCCGGCGACCAGCTTGCAGCCATGGAGACCGGACGCCAGCCCCATCTGTTTCGCCGCTCGCTCGCCCGGCTGCCCCAGCCTCCTGAGCCCGCGTCGGGCTGTGCCGTCTAGCCAGCCCCGCAGGGAAGCCCGCGCCGCGCGCCGCGATTCCCGCCCTTTCCCGAGTATGGGCCCCAGGCTCGCTCTACTGGGGGCGCTGTGCGTTCCGGGCCGTGTGTCGACGAGCTGGTGCAATCTCGGGGGCTTTGGAAACTGACCGCATCTGCTATTTAACACCCGCCCCTTGCCAGAAGCCAGAGAGAGCTCTGGGAGTCCTTCCCCCGCCAGCCCACACTCCGGTGTGTTCACGGTGAGCCCACGGCGTGCTCTCCGGCCCTGAAGGGGCTGGGCCCCAGCTCCAACCATCCTCCTTCGTGGGCCAGGCGCCCCAGCAAGCAGGAGGCCTCCCCAAGCGCTGCCCCCGTCCACCTGGGTTCTCGTCGCACCAGAGGGGAAGAGGAGGCCCCGAGAGATCAGTGTGCCCAAGGCCATGCAGCTGATGCTGGGACTGAGACACTCACTCCAGAGAGCCTCCCCATCTGTGCTCCTTCACCCCGCTGTCACTCAAGAGTAGGTGCTCCGTAAAGAGACAGAAGTCATCCCATGCACCCTCTTTCCTCCACCTCCCCAGTCACCCCCATCCCCCACACCAGCCCCCGCCCCCGATCTCCATTCTCACGGACCCCTGCCCACCCACCCATTCAGTCTCCCCATAGCCGCGGGAAAAGGGACATGCAGCCTTAAAAAGGAAGGCTATTGCTGTCATCAAAACAAAAAGGGAACCGAGTGCATGGGGGAACATCTTTGCCAATGATACATTGGGTGCGGTTTGATCTCCAAAATACATAAATAACTCATACCACTCAACACCAGGAAGACAAACAATCCAATTTAAAAAATGGGCAAAGGACCTGAACAGGCACTTCTCCAAGGAGGACATATGGAGGACCCAGAGACATGTGAAAGGATGCTCAGCATCACTAGATGTCAGAGAGATGCAAATTAAAACCACAATGAAATAATACTTCACCCCGGTGAGAATGGCCGTCATAAATCAACAAACAACAAGTGCTGGCGAGGATGTGGAGAAAAGGGAACCCTAGTGCACTGTTGGTGGGAATGCAGACTGGTGTAGCCACTGTGGAAAATAGTATGGAGTTGCCTCAAAGAACTAAAAATGTAACTGCCTTTTGTGCCAGTCATCCCACTGCTGGGATTATACCGGAAGAATCCTGAAACACCAATTCAAAAGAACCTATGCACCCCAGTGTTCATAGCAGCGTTATTTACAATAGCTGAGTGCTAGAAACAGCCTACATGCCCATCAGTAAATGAGTGGATTAAAAAACTGGTACAGCCCTGGCTGGTGTGAGTCAGTGGATTGAGCACCAGACTTCGAGGCAAAGGGTTGCCGGTTCGATTCCCAGTCAGGGCACAAGCCTGGGTTGTGGGTCAGGTCCCCGGTGTGGGGCACGCAAGAAGCAACCACATACTGATGTTTCTCTCCCTCTCTTTCTCCCTCCCTTCCTCTCTAAAAATAAATAAATAAAATCTTTAAAAAAAAGAGGAAAGAAATTCTGACATGCTACAACATGGATGAATCTTAAAGACACTGTGCTGAATGAAACAAGACAGAAATGGGGTGGGTATAAGGGGACTAAATGGAAATGAAAACTACAGATTATACATATATATATATATATGCATATATTTTTTTTTTTAAGACACAGGTGGACAAATGCTGAATGACTCCACTCACATAAGGTCCCTAGAGGGGCCAAATTCATACAGACAGAAAGCAAAATGATGAGCCCCAGGCGCTAGGGAGGGGGGGATGGGGTTATTGTTTAATAGAGTGCAGTTTGGGAAGGTGAAAAAGTTCTGGAGATGATAGTGGTGAGGGTTTTACGACAATGTGAATTGTACTAAATACCACTGAATTGTATCATTTAAATCAGGGGTGTCAAACTGATTTTCACCGGGGGCCACATTAGCCTCTCGGTTGCCTTCAAAGGGCCGAATGTAATTTCAACTCCTTAACAGTTAAGGCATAGTTACATTTCTACAGTCCTAAAATTATTTCGGCAACTGTGAGCCTGACGTGGCCCCCGGTGAAAATGAGTGACGCCCCTGATTTAAATGGTAAATTTTACGTTATTATTTCCGACTTACAAAAATCAGTCACATCATGCCCCTTCCCTACTGATTGCAATGAAGTGCCATCCTTGCCGGCTCTGAGACCTTGAGCAAGAACGCCTTTCCGTCCTGACCGCATCTATAAAGTGGGGGCAAAGGCGGCGACAGCGACGGCGCCCGCCTGGGGCGGCTGTGTGGTTCGGGTAACACACCAGCGCTGGTCGCACCACGCGCCAGGGCACGCTTTGCTGTTAGGGGCTGGCTGCTGCGTCCGTCCTTTGCCTCTCAGGCCCCCGCCTAGGGCTCGCCCCCGATCTCAGCAAGGCCAGCTCCTTCCCATCTTTCCGCTCCAAGTCACCATGGCATCCCTTCGGGGTCTATCTCGGCCAGGGACATCCTCGTTTCTTTACTTTGCGTGTCGTCGCACTAGAACTTAGGTTGCACGAAAGCAGGGGCGGGCCTGCTCCCTCTCGGAGCGCAGGCCTGCAGCAGGACCCCCGACACGGGACAGTGAATGAATGGCACGTGATGTCTGCGTGCACACTGAGGTCAGTTTCTAGCCGACACAGCGCACCGCAGAGCAGCGGCAGCCACTGGGCCCAGGTGGCTCGGTTCCGCGGCGTGAGTGTAACGAGGGACTCGTCCACCTCAGTGGGTCGGTCTGGACAAGAGCGCCGCCGACCCCACCGGACAGAAGGCCTCTGTCCCTGCGACAAGGAACCACCATCCCCAGAAGCACAAGGACCGAGTCTGCGCAGCCTCAGTGGTGTCTACGTGCGACCTCCGCGGGGGGGGGCATGCTTGCACTTCCGGAAGCCGTGCACCATGGGACTTATAGTTTGCCGGCTGCACTGGCCGCTTTCCAAAGGGATGCGTCCGGGACGTGGCGGCCGCACTGCATGTTGGGACTTTGGAGCCCCCTGTTCCCCGCGTGGCATTCAGGAAGCCCTTGAGAAACGACCCACTCGGGCTCGCGCCCCGCGTCGTTCTGCCGCTGCAGGGGTTTCGGGGGACATTCGCCCCACACTGTACAAGAAGCCGGCCCCGGAACAGCCTTTCGCTTTTGCTGGCGCAGCCGCCTGGACTGGACTAAGGCTCGTCCTCATTGACCGAGCGTGTCGTGACGTCATTTGTACGCGTCATCACGGGGCGCGGCGCCTAGGCTCCGGAGACTTCTGGGTAGCGGATTACCCCCGCCCCCCGCGCCGGCGCTTTCCTTTCCTTGCCTGACGCCGCCGCGCTCGCACGCGTGAGGCCTCTCCGCCGCCGCCGAGTGAGTGGCGCGGCCCGTGCAGGCCGCGGGCCGGGCGGAGGCTTTCGGGGGCTGGCAGGGCGCAGAGCAGGGCGCAGGGTGGGCCTCGATGGGGGCCCGCGGGCCGGTCCGTGTGCTGCGGCCGCGCCCGGGCTGCGGCGTGGGCCGGAGGCTTCCGGGTCACGCTGCGGTCCTGTCCCTTAGGATGCGCTACGTTGCCTCCTATCTCCTGGCCGCCCTCGGGGGCAATTCCTCCCCCAGCGCGAAGGACATCAAGAAGATCCTGGACAGCGTGGGCATCGAGGCGGACGACGACCGGCTCAACAAGGTACGTGCCCCTCCGGGCCCCGACCCACCGGGTACTCGGTACTACGGGGCCAGAGGACAATCCTACTCGCAGGATTGTTCTCTGGGAAAGTGGCTTTGGGGGGCTGTGCCTTTTGGGGGCCTTAATACAGCGTCAAGGAAGCAAAAGCGCATGTGGGGCAAAACCTGGCCAGCATGGTGTTCGCAGAAGCTCAGTGCAATTTCCGTGGGAGTTAAATTGTTTCAGTTAACTGTCTTTGACTAAGAACCGTAAAGTGGGGGGTCTGTTTTGAAGCCATTTGTTTTCACCCCGCTTACTTAAAATGTTAGTTTGACACCGAGCAGGTATAAATTTAGGTGGTGTGGGGCCCGCTGGTAGCTCAGCTCCGAGAACCCGCGTGTGGGTGGCAACTAGTGTGCAGGTGCTGGACGCGGGGCCCTGCCCCGCCTCCAGAAGGTGAGGCTCAGGTGGGACCTTGTAACCGCTGGTCTTGGTTTTCTACCCTAGGTCATCAGTGAGCTGAATGGAAAGAACATCGAAGACGTCATCGCCCAGGGTGAGATGGGGCGGGAGTCTCGTTTGCAAGGTCCATCCTAATGCCTGCGGGTCAGCGGTGGCCTGCCAGGCTTCGCTTGTGGACCAGAGCACCCTAGGAGCCGCACCCAGAGGAGTGAGCACAGCGTCTGTGGGCTCACACGCGGGTGCTTCCAGACACTCGGAGGGAGGGGCGCTAGGGGGCGCCCGCGCTCCCCGGGCCTGGTTGCCCTGCCCCGTGGTAGGGGATGGTAGGGGAACCGGGCCTCTGTAAACAAGGCTCGCCATGTGCTCTGTGTAAGGGGTGTGGGTTGCCGGGGTGACCACAGGCTCCAGCCCCTTCCACTGAGCAGCCTGCTTTCTGGTGACATCAGGCTGGGGCGGGGGGTGGGACTCGTTTGGAAGTTGAGCTGTTGGGGCAACCGTTCCTGTCCCTGGGCACAAGACAGGCCAGGGACAGAGCCAGCTCGGCCCGCAGCCGCCTCTGAGCTCAGTGCTGGGAACAAACATCTGGACACTGGGACCACAGACTAGGTCCCTGCCTGGTTATAAACATGTTTGTCCAGCTTAACCCCGGGGTGGGGGCTATGGCTCGGCTGCCAGCTCCTTGTGGGTCAGTTCCTAGAAGCCAAGTTCCCAGATCCCGGGTTGTGGGGGAGGGGCGTGGCAGAGCCTCCTGTCTGTGAAAACAGCACCCCCTCTCCGCCCCAACCCCTGACCCGCACTGGCCCTTGGTGACCCGCCCCAGGTCATCCACTGGGCAGACTGTCCCTTCACGCCTTTTAAGGAGCCTTTTGGCTGAGCTGCCGCTCTGGCCTCCCCTCCCTTCCCTGGTCCCGCAGGTATCGGCAAGCTGGCTAGCGTCCCGGCTGGTGCAGCTGTAGCCGTCTCCGCCGCCCCGGGGTCTGCAGCACCTGCTGCTGGCTCTGCCCCAGCTGCAGGTGAGTGGGGGCTCGGGCAGCTGTTGCTGTGGGTGCGCTGGGGTGTCGGGGGTCTGCCCTGCCCTGCGCACCTGGCTCACCCCCCACGGCCTTCCCCACAGCAGAGGAGAAGAAGGACGAGAAGAAGGAGGAGTCAGAGGAGTCGGATGACGACATGGGCTTCGGCTTGTTCGATTAGAGTCCTGTCCCCACAATAAAACCCTTTTTACGTACCTCTCGAGGGCCTCTGAGTGCGCGCCAGTCAGAGCCTGGCCTCGGTGCGGGCGGGTGTGGGGTGCCTCACAAGGAAGGGGCCCCGTGCAAGGCAGCACCCGGGGCAGGGCGTGCTTCCTGCAGGTCTTGGGTGTCGCCCAGCTTTGAGCAGGCTCAGAAGGGACCCAGGCCCTCTTCCTGGGTATTGTCCTGGCTCCTGTGGGTTTCTCAGGGGGGGTCCCCTGTAGGGGACACCCAGGAAACCTTTGAGGACGATGGGTAGGTCAGTTGGGTAGAGCTTCTTCCGGATACACCAAGGTTGTGGGTTTGATTCCTCCTCACAGCACATGAGAATCTGTGAATGAATGCACGAGTATGGAACAAATGAACATTTCTGTTTCCCTCCCTCCCTCCCTCCCTTTAAAATCAAAGCAACAGTTGGTGGTCTCCGCCACTCTAAGGAGGGCGTGTGGTCAGGAGTGCTCACTGAGTCCGGGGTGGGCTCTGGCCTGGAGTGTGGCCCTCCAGCTGTTCGCAGTCTCCTGGGCCTGCCACCTCTGCCCACCGAAACCAGGGCACCCAGCAGACACTGCCCCGTCCTGAGGCTCTAGGTCAGCAACAGGCCGGGGTGTGCGCACCTTGTGTGTGAAGGGCCTCCCCCTCTTGGCTGGAGCTGGGGGGGGGCGGGGGTAGGGAGTGATGAGTAGAGCATGGGGGTGAGGGAGGGCAGGCAGAGGAGCACACCTAGGGTGAGACCTAGGCTTTGGGGGAAGAGGTCAAGGCCAGGCTCCTGAGTAGGTGGGGCGGACGGTCCCAGGACGCCAGGGTCACTGCACAGGCCCTAGTGGCATGTGCTGTGAAGGGGCAGGTTGTGTGTGGGGCAGGAGGTCACGCAGACGTCGACCCAGCACCCAGGGCAGAGGCTGAAGCCACCCTGAGACCTTGAAGAGAAGGGCCCTGTGTGGGCCAGAGGACACCGTGGGGGGGGGGGGCGGCGAGCCCGCCTGGCACAGCCCTCGTGCGCCTGATGCCAGGGGTTCCAGGAAAAGCTGCCCTGTTCCTGGACCCAGAGCTGATGGTCCCAGGGGCCTGGAGGGAGGGACGTGTACTCAAAACAGTTCAACCCTGGTGTGGAAATGGGGGCAGAGGACTCTGCACTGGGACAGTGCCACCCCCAAGGCCCCTCTGTCCCAGGGAAGCAGGCAGGGCCAGGACCCAGCCTTTCCTTGGGGCAGGTTGGTGGAGGGCCTTCTTTAGCCCCTGGCTGGGCCTGCACTGCCCAGCTCCCCTCTTGCTCACGCTGGTGAACCCCTGGACTTTCCAGGCTGCCTTTGGGGCTCTGTCCCACCCCCCTGCCACATCCTTGGCCGCCTCCCCACTCCCGCTGCCTCCAGCAGCATCCCCAAGGACTCTCACCAGGAGCCCAGACTGTCCTGATGGGGCGACACCCTCTGCACTGTACCTGCATCCGGGGCATGGGGGCGGGGGCTGTGCGGAGAGGACGAGTCCTTGTGAGTCGGATTCATTCATCCAGTAAGACCCCCACTTGCCCAGCTCAGAGGCCCGTTCCCCTCTTCTCTGTCCCTCCGCCCCGGTGGTCTGCACATGGTGTGTGGCGGCCTGGGTGGGGGTCCCTGTGCCCTTCCTGTGTTAACTGCACCCACACACTGTTAACCCCGTTTCCTCATTTCGAATTTATGGAAACATCTGCTCCCCTCCTTCCCCAGTAGGTCTGGGGCTGGGTTGACTGTTCACTGCTCTGCCCTGTGCTTAGTGTGGGCGGGTACCTCGGAACTGGCTGAGGACTGGACAGCCTGACCCCAAATGGCCACGTCCTGGGGAGGCCCTGCTCTGACTTCGGGGCCTGGCCCTGGGCTGGGCGGAGGCTGCAGCCCCAGCACCAGCTGTGCCCTGAGCTGAGGCCCCACTCGGGGAGGGACTGCTCCGAGGAGATAGGCACGCGCAGCCTCCCCTGGGCCCCAACACGGAAGAGCCCGGGCGTGAGGTGTAAGGAGGGCGCCGGACCCCGACCAGGCCAGGCCTGCTCCACACACGTCGGAAAGAATGCGGAACAGGGGTGGAGCGTGACATCACCCAGGGCTCCACCTGCTGGGGCAATTAGGGGTGGGGCAGGGTCTGAGTCATACCCAAATAGACAGCACAGCCTGAGGAGCCGGTGTAGGACGCAGGTAGAACCCAGGTTAGTGCCCAGGTGCGGGGGGGCCGCGCGTGTGGGGACAGGGCTGGGGCGCGGGCTGCAGGTAGGGGCCGCGGAGCTGGTGTTAGCTTAGTTGTGATTCGCATCGGCCCTGGATGTTTATGGGTCGGTCTGTGGACGAGTGGTGGGTCCTGGGAGTCCCTGGTCTGGGGAGTGGGTGCTGTAGACGGACCACGAGGGAGGAGTCGGCGGCTGCCCAAACACCAAGGCCCTCCCTGGCGAGTGCCAGGTTTGTAGGAGGCGCCCAGGCTCCCAAACTCCAGGGTGCCTGGGCCTGAGCTCGCTGCTCCCAACAACACGCTTGGGCCACTGTGTATCCCCTCCCGCCGCCCACGATGGGGGGCTGGGGAGCGGCAGGAGGCCAGGGGCCTGGCCGCTGTCGTTGGCCAGGTCGCCGGTGTCTGCGGTTCGGGGCCCAGCGGACCCCACAGCGGTGGAAGTGGTCCCAGGCCTGGGGGCGGGGACTTCGGGGGCAGGGCACAGCCGTTCCCCCGCGCGCCCCTATTGGGCCGCGCGTGCTGGCCCCGCCCCACGCCGGCCCCGCCCACCGACTTCTAAAAACACCGTCTTTGCTGCTTGGAGCAGCGTTGCCGCCACCGGCGGAGACCCGGAGCGAGGGAGACCGCTGAGGGGCAGCCGACCAGAGCGAGCGGTGAACAAACAGCGCACAGCGAGGCCGGCCGCCGTGAAGCTCCGGCCACCGGGCCGTCGCGATGTTTCCCAAGGAAGCGACGTTCCCCCGGGAGACGACTTGGAACATCTCGTTCGCGGGATGTGGTTTCCTCGGCGTCTACCACATTGGCGTGGCCTCCTGCCTCCGCGAACACGCGCCCTTCCTGGTAGCCAACGCCACTCACATCTACGGCGCCTCGGCCGGGGCGCTCACGGCCACGGCGCTGGTCACTGGGGCCTGCTTGGGTGAGCGAGGCCTGCGGGCGGGGCCGGGCGGAGGTTCATGCGCACAACGCCCCTCGGTCCGGGGCGAGGAAGCCGGACCCAGACCCTGGGCGCTGCCCTGGGCCCGGGGGCGGGGGCGGGGCCTAGCTTGTTTTGCTCCCAGGCTACCCTGGCCCGGCGTGCTTCTGGGGCCCGAGGCTGCTCTGGAGCAGAAGTTGGGGGCGGGCAGGGGAACCAGGCGCTTTTTCATTGGAAAGAGAAACTAACTCCTGGGCGGGACGGTAAGACTAGGGGGAGGGACCTAAACTGACCCTTCGCCCATCCCGGGCGTGGTGCCTGGACTAGGTGCTAGCGGTCACCGTGTCCTGGGGCTATGGCATTCCCGGCTGCCGTGGCCTCGGGGCCTGACTTGAGGGCGGCCTCTCAGAGCACGTCTGGGCGGCGTGAACTGATGCTTCCGGAGGGCCCCGGAGCAGGAGTCAGGCAGGTCAGGCCTGAGCATGGCAAGCCCTCTCCCACTCTCTCCGACCCTCTCGCTCCTCGCACACCACTCCCTGCGAGCTCGGGTCCCCAGCTGTGCCCCCCACCTCCGTTTTGGCCCCTCCCACGGGGCGGCACGTGTTTCTCTCCAGCCGGTAGGTAGTCGGAGAGCAGCGTCTGCGTGTAGGGAAGGAGCCTCTGCTCCCACTCGCCCCCTGCGGGCCTGCAAGCTGTTTACGGCACAGAGAGTACTCAGGGATCCTGGGATCCAGTGCTGCCCAGCCCCCAGCCTCCGATGGCAGCCAAGGTGACAGAGGGGTCATCAGTGTCCCTCCCAGCAGGAGCCAGTGCAGGGGTGTCCCTGCCTCCTTCCTGTGACTTTGCCCTGAGAGGGTCAGGTCGGAGCTTGGCCCTAATTCTTGGGAAGGGGGACCCACTGCTGTGGGCCTGACCCTGGCCCCTCAGGTGCCCTCAGTCCCCATGCGACCTCGGGACACACCTAGGTCTCTGGTACCTGGGGGGGACGTGGCTCCGCAGCACCTGCCCCACCCCTCCCCCGAGAAACCTCTTTCTCGGGTGTGGTCTTGGGCGGCTGGAGCCCCCCCAGCGCGGCAGGTGCTGGCCCTGCGTTGCCCACTCCTGACCTGGGCAGTGGGACACAGCTGTGCTTTCCCGGAGTGCGGGACCCCACTGTTTCCAGCCTCATAACGCCGCCGCCGGGCCCGTGGGACCCCTGGGCCTCGCTGGGCCGTGCGGGTCTGGATCTGGCCAAGTGGGTAAAGGCTGAGGCCGGTCAGAGTTGAGCCTCTGTGGGCCCCCCCCCGGGCTGAGTGCCACGAGAGGCCCGGTCTGGTGACTCATGGGTCAGAGCGGACTGTTGGGAAACACCGGGCAGAGGGCAGGCCTGGCCCCAGCTGGCCAGCCCCACTGTCTGCTGTCCGCTGTCCCAGGGGTGGCGGCCTGCCTCTCTCTAGGCGCAGGTGGCGAAAGTCCCAATTGTGAGCCAGCCCCCCGCCCTGCAGTAGACACTGAGATTCCTCCAGGGTGGGGTGCGTGGGGTGCCGTGAGTCCCTGTGCCCTGGGACCCTGGGCAGGTGGCTGCAGGGTCCCAGGACTGCTGGCCCCTGACCCTTGGCCCTGACTCCCCCAGGCGAGGCCGGGGCCAACATCATTGAGGTGTCCAAGGAAGCCCGGAAGCGGTTCCTGGGCCCGCTGCACCCCTCCTTCAACCTGGTGAAGACCATCCGGGGCTGCCTGGTGAAAACCCTGCCGGCTGACAGCCACGAGCGCGCCAGCGGGCGGCTGGGCATCTCCCTGACCCGCGTCTCCGACGGCAAGAATGTCATCATATACCAGTTCAGCTCCAAGGAGGAGCTCATCCAGGTGGGCTCTGGTGGGGTCGCGCGGGGGCGCAGCTGCGCCCGGGAGCCCCGCTCACCCCCCGCTCACCCCCACTCTGCCCCTGCACCCCAGGCCAACGTCTGCAGCACCTTCATCCCCGTGTACTGTGGCCTCATCCCCCCCACCTTCCGCGGCGTGGTGAGTAGCACCCCCGGGCACCTTTCCTGGGCGCCTGCCGTGAGCTGTGGGACAGGGGTGGCGGAAGCCGTCTGTCCCCCTGCCCCTTGCTCCTGCCGCTGCCTGTTGCCTCACCTCCCCCAGAGTTACTCAACAGGCAGGCCAGCCCTGTGGCCATGTACACTTCCTGTAGCGGCACCCCCCCCCCCCCGTCTGGCTCTCTCTCAGCGCCCAGGCGGGCTTGTGTCCAGTGCCTAGTGGGTAAAAGACCCAAACGAAACAGCCACTGGGTGGGGCCCCCTTGGGGGGCCCGCTCACCCTGCAGTTCTCTTGCCACGTGACCGTGTGTCCCTGCCGCCTCAGCGCTACGTGGATGGGGGCATCTCAGACAACCTGCCGCTCTACGAGCTGAAGAACACCATCACGGTGTCCCCCTTCTCGGGCGAGAGTGACATCTGCCCGCAGGACAGCTCCACCAGCATCCACGAGCTCCGGGTGACCAACACGAGCATCCAGTTCAACCTGCGCAACCTCTACCGCCTCTCCAAGGCCCTGTTCCCGCCCGAGCCCCTGGTGAGCCCCGCTGGGGGGCCGGGGCCCCCGCAGCCTCTCCGGCCACTGGGGGGAGAGCCGCCCACCTGACCGCTCCAGGTGACAGGGGTGGGGTGGGGGTCCGGACAAGCTCTGCTGAGGACTGGGGAGAAGCCTGTGGCCGGCATGACCTGTTCCCCTGGAGGCAGTGTCTCCGGCCTCCGCGCAGCCTGGGTTTGTCCTGGGTCTGTCGGCTTAGTGCTGGGCAGGGGTGGGGATGGCAGCGACGCCAGGGACCCGGGCAGAGCAGGGCGCGGGTCTGCCTCTCAGCTCCCACACGTCCACGCCCCTGCCCAGGTGCTGCGGGAGATGTGCAAGCAGGGCTACCGGGATGGCCTGCGCTTCCTGCGGAGAAACGGTGCGTGCGTGCGTGCGTGCGTGCGTGCGGGCTAGGCCCCGCCTCCCCCGTGGGGGTGGGGGCGGGGCTCTGCATCGCCACCCTTCCCTCGGCTGGGCTGACCACTGGCGTTTGGTCTTCTCCACCCAGGCCTCCTGAACCGGCCCAACCCCCTGCTGGCACTGCCCTCTGCCCGCCCCGCTGTCCACCAGGACGGGGACGAGGGCGAGGTGGTGGTGGAACGGGCTCGAGTAGTGGGCCACCTGCAGCCACCTGGGGAGGACCCCATCCTGGAACATCTGCCTGCCCGGCTCAATGAGGGTGCGTGGAGGGGGTGCATGGTTGCCCTCCGGGCTGTTCCCAAGAGGTGCCCGAGGGAGTGCAGGGCCTGCGCCCCTTGGGGCGCTCGGCCCCAGGCCCTGTGTGAGGGCGGGGCCGACCTGTGAGGGGACCCTCCCCCAGCGTCGGTCAGCCTCCCTTCTGCACCCCGCCCACAGCGCTGCTGGAGGCCTGCGTGGAGCCCAAGGACCTGCTGACCACACTGTCCAACATGCTGCCCGTGCGTCTGGCCACGGCTATGATGGTGCCGTACACGCTGCCCCTGGAGAGCGCCGTGTCCTTCACCATCCGGTACGGGCGGGGGAGGCGGGCAGGGAGCTCCGCCCGACTTCGGGATCATCCCTGAGGGCCGGTCCCCCGGGGCAGAGAGAGCGGTGGGGGGCGGGGCCGTGGGGATGCGGGGACGTGTGCACGGGGTGGGCCCTGGCCCTGAGGGCGTGCCTGCCGCCCCAGCCTGCTGGAGTGGCTGCCCGACGTCCCGGAGGACATCCGGTGGATGAAGGAGCAGACAGGGAGCATCTGCCAGTACCTGATGATGCGTGCCAAGCGGAAGCTGGGCAGCCACCTGCCCTCCAGGTGAGCCCCCAAGGGCCGCACTCGCGGGGTCCCAGCCTCACCCCAGCGGGCCCCGCACTAAAGCCCGCGCCCCGGCCCGCAGGCTGTCGGAGCAGATGGAGCTGCGCCGCGCCCAGTCGCTGCCCTCCGTGCCGCTGTCCTGTGCTGCCTACTGCGAGGCGCTGCCCGGCTGGATGCGCAACAACCTCTCCCTGGCAGACGCGCTGGCCAAGTGGGAGGAGTGCCAGCGCCAGCTGCTGCTGGGCCTCTTCTGCACCAACGTGGCCTTCCCGCCGGATGCGCTGCGCATGCGCCCGCCCACCGGTCCCAGCCCTGCGCCCGCGCAGCAGCACCCTCCCGGCTTGCCCCCTTGCTGAGCGCCTTCCCAGCCCCCTGGGTCCTAGTGCTGAGGGCCGAGCCCCCCAGCTTCCCCGCGCGGGAGGCGGGGCCCTGGGGCCAGCTGGGATCCTCCCGCTCCCTGGCCTCTCTGCATTGCCGGTGGAGTGAGGGATGGGGACCCTCGGGGCTGTGAGGGGGGCTTTGCTGTCAGCACCTGCAGCAACCACTCACTAGCTGCACTGAGTCCGCAGGGGTGTGGAGCACCCCGCAGAGGGGCCCTCACCTGTGCCTTAATCTCCCCCTCCCAGGCCCACGGCGGGCAGGGCCCGGGCCCGGCGGTGGTCAGTGGTCACAGTTACTGCTCCTGGGGTCTTTGTAGCTGCTCCTCCCGCTGCGGTTTTCACGTTTTACTGAAGAAGGTGTGCGAAGCGTTATTTATTTTTCCTGAAGCAGATGTAATAAACGCCATGCTCAGCCCTTGCGTCCTCCTCGTATGTGACCCCCTCTGGCCGACCAGTGTCGGCACATCTTCAGGTCCGGGCTCCCAGAGGTCCCGTCCCCTTGAGCCCAGCATTCAGGCCTGGGCCCCCCCAAAGGCGCCCGTGGGCCTCCCGGGCTGCAGCACCGTCGTTGGGCCGGGACACCTACATTGGCACTGAGGCCGGCTGGCTGGCTGATCCTTGGGTGCAGCTTTCCAACGGCCTGCAGAAACACATGGGACCAAGGTCCTTGCTGAATAAAAAACAAAGGCCTGTTTACAGAAGGTGGCGCCCGCACCTGGGCTTGAGGTGACACACGGCAGGGGGCTGCTCTCCGAGCTGTGGAGGGCGCTGTTCCCGGGGGAGCACGGGGCCTGCTGCACTTGGGGCGCTCGGCCCGAGGGCCCGTGTGAGCTGCCGGGCCTCCCCTGGCCACCCCACCGCAAACCACACTGGCCAGATGCACCCGAGTCCTTGTTCCCGCCCCCCTCGGGGCCCACAGGGTGCCCCGTCTCCTCCCAGTGCGTGGGAACGGTCTCGGACACGAAGGCCAGCCTGAGCTGAAGGGGGCTGGACCATGTTCTGGGGGAGACATTGTTTCCGGAAAGTGTCCTCTGCCCCCGGCCGTCGGGGAGTTTGGCCAGGCCTCCTTGGTGACCGAAAGGGCCCAGCGTGTGGGGGGTGCTGGATCAGCCGGGCGCCTGGCGAGCTGCGCAGAACCCTTAGTCTCGCCCACTTGGGCCCCACCTGCCTCCCCCCGCCCTGCCTGGGTGTGGGGCGGCTGCGGTGGCAGCCCCCAGCCAACAATAACGGTTGGTGGCAGGACTGGGCGAGCCGGCCGGGCAGGTCCCCGGTGCGCCTGTGTGCCAGGGGCCGCCCCCCTCCTGGTCTCAAGGTCTCGTCCTATCGCCCGACCTGTTCTGGTTCAGCAGGATCCCAGGCCCCTGGAGAAGCAGGGGCCTCCAGCCCCCGGCACTGCCAGGGCCCCCCCAGTGAGGCCAGGCCCTCCAGGTGGGTGCAGGGCCAGGCTGGGGCCACGGCGGGTGGGGGGGCCTGGGTAGGAGGCTGAAGTCTCCCCTAGCGGGAAGGGCGCACGCAGACTCCACCCAGCTCCTTCCCTCAGCCCTGCCCCAGGGGGACCCCAGTCAGGGCTGTACCCCGACTGGATCGCCGGTGGAAGTGAGGACCCCCGCCCCCACCATCACTCACCCTCACATGTGCACAGGCCTCGGTGCCGTTCAGTGTCGTTCCCTAGTTGCTGCGTGTGTCTGTGTAAACACGGGGAGCCAGACGGGGGAGCCCGGGGAGGGAAGGAGAGCTCCCGGAGGTAACCACTGGGAGGGCTTTGGTCTGCTTTCTGCCTGGCGTTTTCCTACGCCCGCTTTCTGGCGCCTTGAGTTGTGATCCTCAGGACAGTGCCCGCTCCTCACCTTGGCCCTGCTCAGGAAAGGCCCCCAGGTACCCGGGTCCTGCCCGCGCCACCGTGCGCGGGGGCTCTGCCGGGACAGAGAAACGACCGCCAGGTCCAGGGTGGGTGGGGAGTGAGGCTGGAGCCGGGCTGCCCGGGACGCGCCGAGAGGCGGGGACAGGGCGATAGCAGCCGCGGCGCCCCGCCCGGGGCCGGCCCACGCCGGGGTCTCGGTGCCTGCAGGGCGGCAGCAGCAGCAGATTCGCCCCGCGCCCCCCGCCGTGTCTGCCTTTCCGGGAGGAGAGGCCAGGTGCGCGGCAGGTGCGGCCGCGGCGCAGCTCGCAGGTAGGCTCCAGGCGGGCCCCGCCGCCCTCCCGCAGGGAGCGCCGACCCGGGCGCGTGGCGGTCAGGGACTCTAGGGACCCTCGGGGCGGGGCGCGCCTGGCTCTTCCTCCTCGCTTCCCGCGTCCGGTCGCGGCGCCGCTTCCGCTGGGATGGACCTCTGGTCCCGGGGAGCCCGCGAGCCGCCGGCGGCGCGCCGCCCGGGTGAGGCGACCACGAAGCGGGCAGAGGTCCCTGGCCCGGGGTCCTGCCGCCCCCCCTCAGACCTGCCCTCCTCGGAGCGCTGTTCTCCGTTCCCCGGGCGCAGGGCGGGCTGAGAACCGCCGCTCTCAGCCGAGGGGGAGGACGTCCCACCCGGGTGTGGGGGGAGGGGTGCGCCGCGCCGGGGGGTGGCGGTGGGAAATCCGGGACCGGGGCGGGGCGCGACGACAGGTGCCTCTGATAAGGGGGCGGGGCGCCTCGGCGGGGAGGGCGCCGGCGGAGTTCCGGGCCGCGGAGGGGCCCGTCTGTGGGTGGGGCCGCTCAGCCTGGAATCTGGGGTATTCCTGACAAGGGCCATGGAAGGCACCCTGTCCCAGGCCGCCAGGACCCTGCACCTGCACCCCAGGGGCCCTGGCGCCCCGCGGTGGGAGGGGCCGTGGCCGGGAGGGAGGAGCTTACTCAGCCCGCCAGCTGGAAGGGCCGGGGGCCGGAGGCCCAGGCTGGGTGGCAGGGGCGCAGGGTCAGGCAGGGTGGGCCGAGTGCCCCCCCAGGTCCGGCCCCGCAGCCCTGGTCCCCGACTTGAGGACCTCTTCAGCTCCTCCCCAGGGACCGCCCCCCTCACCCAGGCTCTCTGCCCTCGCTCTGCAGCAGCTCCCCTCTCCACTGTCCACCGCAAGATCTTCTGTAGCTGCCCCCAAACTGAGGTCGCCTCTCTCCCCAGCCAGTCCTCTCCCGGCCTCCCTCCTGGGCCCGCAGCCTCGAGCTCCCTGGGGGCCCTGAGTCCGCATCCCCCCTCCCCCGCCACACCCCGCGCCTGCAGCGCCACGGCCCAGTGTGCCGGCCCCCCACCCCAGCAGCCTCTCCTCTCTGGACCTGCACCCTGCCTTCTCCCAGCTTCCTCTGCTCGACCCGGGGTCTTCACGGCTCCAGCTCAGCCCTCGCCCTCTCTCTGCCTCCCCCTCCTCATTTGTCTGAGCTCTGCTCAGCCTCCGACTCCTCCTTGGCTTTACAGCACCCACCGGCTGAGCCCCCGCTTTCATGGCCAGCCCTGGGGAGCCCAGGGCTGGGGGGGCCCAGGAGGACGAGGGGGAGGAGGACGGGGGCTCCCCGGGGCCACGGGCGGCCGTGCTGGCTCAGGCCCAGGAGCTGTTCCTGCTGTGTGACAAGGAGGCCAAGGGTTTCATCACCCGGCATGACCTGCAGGTGAGTGAGTGAGTCCCCAGCCCCAGGCGCGGCCGGCCCGGGGCGGACCTCAGCTTCTCAGCCCGGCACCGTTGTCCGGCCAGGGCTTGCAGAGTGACCTGCTCCTCACGCCGGAGCAGCTGGAGGCTGTGTTCGAGAGTCTGGACCAGGCACACACGGGTTTCCTCACTGCCCGAGAGTTCTGCCTCGGCCTGGGTGAGCCCCTCCCTTGTCCCCCCACCCTGCCCCTCGCCCGGTGACCCTCCCCTGGCACACGTGGGGCTCTGTGGGGCCCACAGCCCCCCCGGACCGCAGCTGGGGCTCCTCCCCCCCGAACAGGCACTGATGTCCGTGTGCCCAGGCTCCACGGCAAGGCTGCCAGAAAGCCCCCCGGCTGCTCCCAGGCCGGAGCCAGGTGCGGCTGGCTGGGAGCCAGCTGTCCGTTCTGGCCTGAGTCCGGCTGTCACCTCCCATTCCCAGGCCTAGAACCAAACCAGAATAAGGAAGAAAAACAGGAAACTGGGCTCAGAGAAAGGGCAGGATACGTGGGTGTGTTGCAGGGGGAGGCCAGTGGAGGCTGAGCTCGGGTGGGAACCCACAGCCTGATAATCTCTCTCTCTCTCCCCCACGTCCACAGGGAAGTTTGTGGGGGTGGAGTCGGCCCAGGGCGCACTGCCCTCTCTGGCTTCTGAGGAAACCTTTGAGTCGGGCTGGTCAGAGGTGCAAGGCACCGGGGGCTCCCTGGAGGAGGAGGAGGAGGAGAGATTCTTCTCTGCACTGGAGCAGCTCGGGGTGGCCCGGGTCCTGAGCGAGTGAGTCCCTGCTGGTCCTTTCCCCAGGTCCCTCTCCTGGCTGCTGTCTGTCCACTTTGCCCGTGTGTCTGCTCTGGCCTTGAGCAGGGTCCCCAGCACGGCTCTGGCCTTGCCGTTCCCTCTCAGCTCTGCCACTCCCTGGACGGAGCCGGGCGTGATTTCCCGCGGGATTTGCATTTTAGGAGGCCGCAGTCCCGGCTGCAGGGAGGAGGGGTTGTGCCACACACACTGCCTGGTACACAGGCCACGACCCCGGTGCACAGGACCCCTCGCTGCCACGCCAGCTGCGCACAGACACTGAGCCCTGGCTGGGGCGAAAGCACCCCATGAGGGAGGCCCCGCAAGCGGCCAACGCGCCTGGCGCCTGGCTTGTCTGAGGCTGCGGAGGTCGCCCTCAGGGAGGCGACCCCACTCTGGCTTCAGCCCCTGCCCACCCTTGCAGGCAGCGGGCGGCGCGGACGCTCTGGACCCGGCTGCAGCATGAGCGGCCGGAGCTGCTGGGGTACTTCGAGGACGTTCTGATTCGAGCGTCCGCCTGCCTGGAGGAGGCTGCCCGAGAGCGAGACGGCCTGGAGCAGGCGCTGCGGCGGTGAGACCTGGGGCTTGGGCGGGGCTCCGCAAGGCACTAGGCGCCGGGCGGGGTCTGCAGTGCCTGTGGGTCCGAAGCAGCTGACCATCTCGCTCTGGGCCCCCCGCCGAAGGCGCGAGAGCGAGCACGAGAGGGAGGTGCGGTGTCTGTACGAGGAGACTGAGCAGCAGCTCCGCCAGCAGCGCCAGCGCCTGCGGAGTCAGGTGGGCGCTCGCCCCGGGCCCAACCCCAGACGCGCGCGTCTCCCTGGCTCCGCCTCCTCGGGGTTGGTCCTAACCCCTGGCCGCTGCCCCTCGGCCGCCTGCGGAGGCTCAGGTACCCCTTCGCGCGTCCCAGGACCTGCCCCGGGAGGAGCGGAGAGGCCGCCTCGAGCTGGACCTGCAGAGCCGCGAGCAGGAGCTGGAGCGCGCGGGCCTGCGGCAGCGGGAGGTGAGCAGCGGGGCCGCGCGCCCAGCGGCCCAGCCCACGCCCCCATCCCCACCGTTGCCTGCCCTTCCTGATTTCCTGGGTCCCCAGCCTGGCAACTCTGGGGACTCAGGGGCAAACCGCCATCGCGGAGAGGAGGGAGCCCCTCTGCAGCCTCTATTCCTCACGACCCCCCAGCTGGAGCAACAGCTACAGACCCGGGCCGCGGAGCAGCTGGAGGCGCAGGCGCAGAACGCCCAGCTGTGGCTGGCCAACGAGGCGCTGCGGGCGCAGCTCGAGGCAGCTCAGCAGCAGCTCCGCCGCCTGGAGGGAGACGCGCAGAGCCGCCAGGAGCAAGCCCTACGGTGCCCAGGGAATGGGGCTGGGGCGGGCCTTTGGGGCGGGGCCCGAGGAGGGGGTGAGACCAACGGGCGCTGCGAAGTGGGGGTCGCTTCCATCTCCTCCCCGAGTCCCAGCCCCGCCCCCAGAGCGTGCGTGGGTCAAGACCCTCTAGGGGGTCGTGGAGCGCCCCAGGAGTCTCCCTGCACCCGGTCACCACCTCCTGCCCGCAGAGAGGTGGTTGCGGTCTCGAGGAACATGCAGAAAGAGAAGGTCAGCCTCCTGCGGCAGCTGGAGCTCCTCAGGTTCGGCCATGCTGAGGTCTCGCGAGGGAAGGGGCCCCGTGCAGCTGCGGGCTCCCAGGCGTCCCTGAGCGCTGCCTGGCTTACTGCGAGGAAGTCCTTCCTCGTGTCTGTCCTCCCTCCCTCATGCTGCAGCCCAGCTGGACACTTCTCTCCTGGTCTGAGGGAGGGTCTGAGGCCCCATCACCCACCCTAAAATGCTGCCTCCTGAGGCCTCCCCGAGCCCTTGGACTCTCTTCCCCAGGGAGCTGAACACGCGGCTGCGAGACGAGAGGGATGCCTGTGAGACCAAGCAGCTGGGCAGTGGCCGCAGGAAGGCTCTGGCCGCCGCCTGCCTGCCGGGGCCTGCCTGCTGCTGCTGCTGCTGCTGTAGCAACTGGACCCGACCCCCCAGACGTGGCTCAGGCCACCTTCCCAGTGCCCGATGACCAGCCCCCATGTGACTCTCAGTGGGCGTTAACCTGGAAAAGCCGACCCTTGGAAGTGACTCATGGTGGCTGGAGCTGCCCATCCGGGATGTGGGCTCTCCCCCTGGGGATGTCCAGCCTGCCTGGCTACAGACATGGAGGAACTAACCCAGGGTGGTCAGGGTTCCGTGTGCCACCTTTCTGGTCCTCATCTTGTCCCCATGCTGTCAAACCCATCTCTGTCCAGCAGAAGCCATCCCCTCCTTCAAATAAACTCCACCGACTGCACTGCAACGTCTGGGACCTCCTGTGTGAAGGGAGGTGGGGGGGCCACAGACTCCAGGTGTCCAGTGTGCATGCATGGCACAGGTCCACAGCCCTGCAGTGCTGGGGCTGTAGGTCCCTGTTTGTGCCTGTGGGTGTCCCTGTGTCTCTGGTCAGACCCCAAGCCCTCGCAGCCCATAAAACCTTGAAGCCCCATAATCTGCAGGGACAAGGAGACCGAGGCCCATGTCTCCCCAGGGCGTGCCAGGAAGGGCTTCCTCCCAGTCCAGACTCAGCTGACCATCCCTTCCCCCTGTCAGTCCTCATACGGCTCTGGGCAAGCCACCTGGGAGGGGTCGGCCCTGTGTGGAGCACCCTGGGCTAGGCCCGGAGCAGGCAAGGATGCGGGCGGGGGGGGGTGGGGGGGCGGGGAGCTGGGAGCTGCCAGCTCAGCCCAGGACAGGGGTGGGCAGGAGTGCAGCCACTGTCCCTGTCCCTGTCCCTGGAGAGGTGCTCAGACCTATTCTGCAGGGCCAGGCCCCGCCTGGGGCTGGGGGTGAGTGGGCGGGTGGGCGGCCCCCCCCCCACCTCTCTGAGCCCCAGTCCAGCGGGTCAGCAGGACTTGCTCCCTCAAGCCTTCCCACCGCTGCCAGGCCAGGCGCCCCCCAGACTGGATGTATCTCACAGGGGCCCTCAGCCTTCCCCCACCAGGTCAGCGTCTGTTCTCCTGACCCCTGCGGCCTCCAGGCGGTCCCGGGGTTGGGAGGGGAGAACCAATAGGGCCTGGAGGCCAACAGGGTCTCCGACAGAGCCCACGGCCTTGGCTGGGCTGGGGGCCTCCCCCACTTCCCGTTCCCCTACCCCAGTTCCTCGGTCTCCTGAAGGCGTGGGCCCTGGCCAGGTTGTGGGGGACCCAGGGCTGCAGCTCGCCTGGCCCCCAAAGCCCTGGTAGGGACCCTCACCGCCTGCACCGGCTGGAATCCCGCCTGCCACCTAAGCACACTTGTTCAGACCTGCCGGCCGTGGGCCCTGGGGGCCGGGTTTGTGGGCTGTGGGCGGGCCTGCGGGCCGGGGCGGGGTTTGTCGGCCGTGGGTGGGCCTGAGGGCCTGCGGGCCGGGGCGGGGTTTACGGGCCGTGGGCGGCCCTGATGGCGTGGGCGGGGTTTGTCGGCCTTGGGCGAGACTAAGCCCGGGCGGAATTAGTCGGCTGTGGGCGGTGCCTGTGAGCCGGGGCGGGGTTTGTGGGCTGTGGGCGGGGCGGGCCGAAGGCGGCCCCTGAACCTCCAAGAATCCTCCCGCCGCCGTGCGTCCTCGGCGCCTGGAACCTCCGCCCCCGCCAGACTCGAAAGTGTGGCCGGTGAGTACGCCGCTCGCTCAGGTGGAACGCCGGGGCCGGGAGTCCCGAGGACCTCAATGGCGCGGGCTCCGCGGTCTGGCGAGGCCCTTTCCGGTGGGAGGCGGACTTCAGGAGGCCGGGCGGTTGGAGGGCGACGCAGGGCGAGGGCGGGGTGCCTCCCGGGTCTTCAGAGAGGCCTGGCGGACCCGTTGGGCCAAGGGCCCCGGCTGAGCATCCCACCCTTTGTCCCTGGACGCCCGCCTCCTCCCCTCCTTGCGCAGGCCGGCCACCCTGTGTAAGTGGGCGGGCGGCAGCGGGGGCTTCATCACGGTGACGCGGGATTCCCACCGGGCCTGGCTGGAGCCCCGTCCCGTGTCCCCCTCCTTGGCGCGCGGGCTGCGGAGGGCCCGGTTGAGGTGCCGGGCACTGGGGTGGGGCAGCCCCGTTCCGGGCCGCAGGAACTATTTCTGGCCGGCCTTTCCCCGGAGGTTCACATCCGCCGGGCTCTCCCGGAAAGAGGGGCCTCTCCTCCTGGGTGGCCTGTGCGCGGCCGCGGGGGCCGGGTCTGTCTGCGTCCGGAATCAGCCTCTCCAGGAGGCCTGGGACCTCAGAGCCGGCCCAGGGGCACGTGTGCCGAGCGTGGGGCTTCCACACCTCCGGCTCCGTGGTTGGGGTCTGCGCCTTTTTTCCTTTCCAGGCTGCAGCGCTTGCCGCTTTGTTGGGGGAGGGACAGTGGCGAGTCTGGTACTAAGGCCTAGGGTGTGGCGCTTGGAGAAGGCGTGAGATCCGTCTCAGGTTCGGACTGTCCAGAAATGCCCTCCTCCCTGCCCCTGATGGCCCAGACTAAAATACCCGGCCAGGCCGCTCCCCTTCCTGCCGCTTGGAATGACGTCGCCAGCGCTGGAAGCCGGGCTTGAGTCGACTGCCTGGGGCAGGCTCCGGGAGGGGTGGCAGGATCCCGTGCATCCCTCCTGGGCCAGACTTGAGACCTCTCCCCGCCCTTCTAGCGGAGCCTCCTGAGGAACTTCTGCCCAGCAGTCCTCCTGCCAGCCAGGTGAGCGCTGGGCGGGGCGGCGTGAGGCCAGCTGTGGGAGTTCTGGAGTCTGGAGTCTGGAAAGGTGGCCCCAGGCGCTGCTGTCTAGGTCCCACAGCCCTCCCCCGCCCTCCTGGGCGCCATCACCTCACAACAGAGCCAGCTGGCCCTTCCTGGCTGGGGTGCCTCTGAGGAGGGGCAGGGTCTGGCGCTGTGCTTTGTCGCTGGGGTTAATGTGACTGTCCCCTTTCCAGCAACGAGGACACCCCCGGTCTGGGGGGTCTGGGGGTGGGTGTGTCTGCCAGTTCCGCCTTCCTGTCCACAGTCCCCACTCCCCACTCTTGCTGGGAGGAAGGGAGCCCTGAGGGACTGTGTTAGAGGCCACACGGCTAAGCAAAGGGCCGGCTAGATTGTCTCTGAGTGGCCTCCTCCCTCCCAAGTTCTCCCTGCCGGCCTGCGACTTGGGGCCTGGGAATGCTGGGGGCTGGGGCCTGCATGAGCTCGCCTCTGGGTGCCTGCTGGGGCCCCCTGCCCTCGCTGCCAGTGGGAGTGAGCCAGCCAGCCAGTGATGGTCGGCGGTCCTCCGTGCCCCCTCTGCCCTGGGTCTGGTCATGGAAGCCAGGCCCTCCCACCTTCCTGGGTGCGCAGCTTGCCTCTGCCCCGGCTGCAGTGGGGGTGGGGGCTCCCGAGCTGCTGGCCGGCCCGGAGCGTGCCCTGGTTCCCAGGGACGCTCTCCCAGGGCCTCCGCGCAGGGCCAGCAGTTGCTCAGGCATCGGCGTCCCCTCCTGCATGTGTGCCCACTGGGGGTCTGGCCGTCCCCCCGGTCAGGTGCTGGTGGGTGGGCTCTCTGACCTCTGACCTCTCTGACCTGTGGGCCGCCCCCCAGCCCCAGGATGGGTGAGTTCAACGAGAAGAAGCCCACGTGCGGCACAGTCTGCCTCAAGTACCTGCTCTTCACCTTCAACTGCTGCTTCTGGGTGAGGCCCGGCGCCTGCCTGTCCCCTGACCCGCCTTCTGCGCTTGTCATCCCGTCCCTGGTCCTCGAAAGGGGCCCTGGCCTGGGGCTCACATGCGGTAACTGACCGCCGTGCACTGTCCACAGCTGGCTGGCCTGGCCGTCATGGCTGTGGGCATCTGGACGCTGGCCCTGAAGAGCGACTACATCAGCCTGCTGGCCTCAGGCACCTACCTGGCCACAGCCTACATCCTGGTGGTGGCTGGCGTTGTTGTCATGGTGACAGGTTTCCTGGGCTGCTGTGCCACCTTCAAAGAGCGGCGGAACCTGCTGCGCCTGGTCAGCAGGGCATGGCCAGCACTGGGGGGCGGGTCTGGGGGGGCTCCCCACCTGGCTGTCTGGGGCTGGCCCTGGGGCCCTGACTGGGGAAGAAGGGACCAATGGGACTTGAGCATGACACCGCAGGATGGCCTCTGCTCTGTTTGCCTGGGAGGGTGTCCCACCTGCCCAGCCTCCCTGTGAGTCCCCAGCCCCGGGAGGGACACCAGCTCCAGGAGGAGGCCCTCGCCTGCTGTCTGGGTTCCTCCCTCCGTGGCCACTTGGGGGCTGAGGGCGGGGACTCTGCGGAGCCTGGACCCTGGGCACCCCCACGGAATGGGGGTGTCTGTGTCCCTGCTCACCGCCTCCTTCCCCTGCCCTAGTACTTCATCCTGCTGCTCATCATCTTCCTGCTGGAGATTGTTGCCGGCGTCCTTGCCTATGTCTACTACCAGCAGGTGAGGGGCCTGGACAGGCCACACGGGGACGTGGGCACACACACAGGGACGTGCACTGGCACACACGGATGCCCCTCCCCAAGCTGCAGAGCTGGCCACTGTGCCGTCAGGCCCTGGAGGTGAGGGCTGAGTCACAGGGGTGGGGTGCCCTGTAGGGGGTCCTGGGGGCAGGCAGGCGGGTGTTCCTTGGAGCTGGAGCTCTCTGCCCCTGCCCCACCGTGGCCACCTGGGTGACTCTCCCATCCCAACCTGACCTGAGCTGGAGTGTGGTCCTCCGCTTCCCTTGGAGCCCTCCCTGCACCTGCCCCAGCATCTGCACTGCCCCTGCCCCACCCCAACTCGGAGGGTCTCAGACTGTGACTGAAGTTCTCGCCATCACACCCCAAGCTGAACTCGGAGCTCAAGGAGAACCTGAAGGACACCATGACCAAGCAGTACCACCAGCCAGGACACGAGGGCGTGACCAGTGCTGTGGACAAGCTGCAGCAGGAGGTGGGTGGGGGGCTCTGGGAGGGGCCCCTCTGGGACCTCTGTGGGAGCCACAGGCAGGCTGGGAGGGGCGGGGACTCAGCCCTGCGGTGCTCTCCCTGCAGTTCCGCTGCTGCGGCAGCAACAACTCCCAGGACTGGCGGGACAGCGTGTGGATCCGCTCCAGGGAGGCAGGTGGCCGTGTGGTCCCGGACAGCTGCTGCAAGACCGTGGTGGCCCACTGTGGTCACCGGGACCACGCCTCCAACATCTACAAGGTGGAGGTAGGTGGGCGGGGCCTGAGGCTCCCTGTGCGGAATGCTGGGCGCCGGCGTGGTCACCCCACGCCCTGGAGGGGGCCTGCAGCTGCAGCAGAAGGGGCTGGAGGACTCGCCTGCCTTCAGCGTCTCCCACTCCCACCCGCCAGGGCGGCTGCATCACCAAGCTGGAGACCTT